CAGATTCCAAAATGCCCTTGGGCTGCCTTTTACAAAATCTTTTTAAATTGGGGCTATCTGACATTATATGTCCTGAAAGCCTAGTGTCTCTGTACACTAACCCCTGGCCTCAATATGTCCTTGGCAACGGGATGTGATGGCCGCCAGAGGGAACTTTTGAATTTTCCATCCTTCGCGGCCACGCAGGGGACAAGTGGACAGAACTCCCATCTGCCCGCGGTTTCTGGGTACTGCGTTCCCACCCTTCCCTCAGCAGCCAGTGTCTCCCAGCACCAGTCTTCTTTGCTAGGGTCACAGTGCCTCTAAATTCCCACCTATCTGGAAATTAGGACCCTAAAAATTTCTGCCCTGACCTTGCTGCTGGAGACACTGGCCCCTCCCCCCACCTCTCCTAACCCTGCTTACCCAACCCTACGGGGCCACGTGCTCCATTCAATCGCTACCATTCTTCTCATCGCCCCTCTCACTCCCCCTCCCCCTCCCCCTCTCTGGAACAAAGGTTGAGGCCAACTTCCTCCTCCTTGTCCACCTTCCTCTCCTCCCCTTCCTCCCACCCCTCCCTTCCATGCCAGAAACCACCTCCTGGTCACCCTCTACACTTTGCACTCCCCCCTCCCCTCCCACCACACACACACTTCTCTGTTTGTCTGCAGCTCAGCATCCTCTCTCTCTCTCTCTCTCTCTGTCTCTCTCTCTCTCTGTCTCTCTCTCTCTGTCTCTCTCTCTCTCTTTCTCTCTCATTCCTGTCATGTGATCTGGTCATGCTGGTGGGATTCTCCCTGCGGGAGATCTGTCCCCAGTGCCCTCCCACTCTGAACTGCATAGGTGTTCCATGTCCTTGTGTTTCTGTTCTCCCGTAGCTGGCCTGGCCCCCAGTGGGACATCTGTGTGCTTGCCTGACTCCTACTGCCAGGATTTATAAGTTGGTCAGCTGACACAGTCTCCTGGGAAAAGTTTTGTTTATGTGTCTGTTACTTTGTGTAAATAATGTGGCCTCCGTATGCTTGTTTTATGTCTTTGTGTGTATGTGTGCTTGTTTTAAAATCTGTAAAACTTGTGACTTCAGACTACAGTAGCTCTGGAAAAGTATAAACACATGGGTAGCCTCCATTTTGAGGTCAAAACAAAAACCTTAGATCTATCTTGACTAAGGGCACCCATGTGCACTGGCCCTACCAAGGAGACATTCCTCTCCAATATAATTTGGCTTATAATATGTTTCTATATGATAAATCCTGTCCTAAAAAAATAAGGTGTATAACAATGCTGATTGACTGAGATATTAAAGATGTGCCTCTGCATTCATGTATAGGAATGAATTTTGCAGGGAGCCAGATTTTGTAATTTAAGAGTAAACCCCTTGATACTGATTTAAACACTAAAATGTTTACAATGTTGAAGCTTGGTTCTGTCTTCTACAGACTAGGATTATACTCTAGGTCTCAGGACTACAATTGAAAACTAGAGACTAAAATATTCCTTCAAATCTTCTTGTCTCCACTAACATTACTAAGCTGTAACTGATTGGGTAAACTGTATATCTAAATTTAACTTAGGTTTAATTTAGAAACACCGGACAGGTAATGGTCCCTTGATTCTAAAGTGTCTTTACAGATCAGAGAGTATTTAATAAAAAGCTTCTTATGATAGAGACATGCCAGCTCCTGCAGCGTCCTGCATCTCCAAGAAGATGGATGGCCGCAGTCGCTTCTGCTCATTTACTTGTTCCTCTTAGATCTGATGGTGTTTGATGACCAGATACTAGAAGATCATGACTTTATTAAGTCTCCTGTTAAAAACACAGGGGTGCCTTTTTCACAGACTTCATAGTCCAGGACTAACAGGCTTCAGATGTAACTTCAGAGGTTCAAAAGTTTTCAATTTCCTCTAGTTGTTTTCCAAAATGTCCATGCCTTTTAACCTAATGCCATAGCTTTTGCTATGACACCAAGATATAAATCTATTCCAGTGGTTTTACAGATACCTGAAGGTTCCCGCACAGGTTCATCCCTGCTGCCAGACTCGTGCCAAGGCCCTCTAACAAACACCAACTTTTTATTAACCTGTGATGCAGCCCTGGTTACCACGTGTGCACTCAGCCAGTTCCAGCACTACAGCCTTGTTAAGCCGACAGGAACTCTGCATCTTACCTTTATCATGTGCAGGCCTACCACAAATTTGCGACCTGCTCTCTCCCTCCAAGCAGCCATATATTTAGGTTGTTCTCTCCTTCTTCTTAGGGCACATTAGTAATGACACGTAGCTTTTTGTCACAGAAGATGGGACAGAGGAAACCAAAGCTCCCAGGGGTCTTCTCTAGATTCCTGATGTCCCTGCTATAAATGTTTCTTATACTCAAGTTCTGCAAACTGATCAGCTGTTTCAGAAGAGAAAGTTAGTTGGCAAAGAGCTGACCGGCCAGGAACAGCACCAACAATAACAGAAACTAGCGACTGTCTATTTTCAATGTCTTTAATGGCTACCCCAGGGAATTTTGTTTAACAGAAAACTTTGTTCACAAGTGTTCCCCCACAGTAGAACTAATAGTAACTTAAAGATCTACTAAGGATCTGAAAATTCAATCTATTTACCAACAGAATTGAATTACTCTGAAATTTTATTCTATTCAAAATCACATAGGGGCCAGTGAAATGGCGCAGTGGTAAAGACACCTCTGCCAAGCTTGAGAACCCAAGTTTGATTTCCAGAACCTACACAGTGGAAGAAGAGACTACTCCTGCACATTGTCCCCAACTTCCAAGAGCACAGCGGCTTCTACAAACAATAAACATAAAAAGAAGGTTTAAAACCACAGAAATAACACCTAAATTTTTTAAATAAAGAAAAAAAAAGCAACAGGCAATTTGGGAAGTAGATTAACTTTATTTGAAGTATAACATGGAATGTGTTGTCAAACAAGTGGATATAGGGGCAGACTTTTGTAAGTGCAGTTAAACAGATTATTTGCATAGGAACTGCTCATGTTAAGTCTTTGGATAAAGAGTTAATTGCTAATGAAACTAATATAATGTAAGAGTCCTTTACACATGTGTAAACGGAAGCGTAATTCCTGAAATAACAGATGTTTACACGTGTGCAAACTGAAGCGTGGTTCCTGAATAACAGATGTTTACACATGTGCAAACTGAAGCGTGGTTCCTGAAATAATAGATGTTTACACGTGTGTAAACTGAAGCGTGTATAAACTGAAGCATGGTTCCTGAACAATGTATGTTTACATGTGTGCAAACTGAAGCATGGTCTGAAATAACAGATGTTTACATGTGTGCAAACTGAAGCATGGTCTGAAATAACAGATGTTTACATGTGTGCAAACTGAAGCATGGTCTGAAATAACAGATGTTTACATGTGTGCAAACTGAAGTGTGGTTCCTGAATAACAGATGTTTACATGTATGCAAACTGAAGTGTGGTTCCTGAAATAACAGACGTTTTATTCAGTCTTTGGTAAGTTCTTAATCAAGTTCTCTACCATGGATAACATAATTGCATCTAGATCAAATGCTAATCCAGATACCTGTTTCCTACAGTACAAGGGTCTTTATTAAGTATTGCTAAACATATTGAATTAATTAAATGGTCCTAGAATAGTTCATATGAGGGACATGTTTTAGTGAAAACATGAAATTCCTGATACTGTTTTTTGGCATTTTAATGTTGGTACCCACACTACTCATTTGCTTTGCAACAGTGATGAACAACTGGTTCTGGCACAGGACTAAATAAAAGGCAAAGCATTTAAGTCCACATTATTTTCTTGTCAGATGAATATAACATTTCAAAATTCCTATGGGGAATGAGTATTTGTATAACTTTGCTGAAGAAGGGGCTGTCAGTGAAGAAGCTGGCACTGATGTTTAGCTACCAAAATATTTGTGTCTGGTGTTCTGGCAACACAGCTTTCTAATCTTTTATTTCAAACTTAGACGGGATTTTGCAGTGCCCATCAGGCTGGGCTCTTTCCTGAGAGCTGGGTGCTGTTTGTGACTCGCTTTGTTAGCCACGATTATCAGACTCTGCTCATTCCGATTGCACTTATCATAATTTTAAGAGACTATCTGCTAATTTCAAAAGTTTCATTCTGGCATTTACTGACTTAGGTAAAGCTCCTGGTACCACTGCATGTTACTCAAGTGAAACTAATTTAGGATTACTTTTCCCTCCATCTTAACATGACTTCACACAGAGACTGTCGGTTGGAAACTGAGTATAACAAGAGCAAGAACATTGGATGTGTGTTTAAACATGAGGAGCACTACTAGCGTTTCACATGCCGCGTCCTAGAAGAATGCTTGATTTCTGTGTGTGCAGTTACGCGATTTCTGTGTGTGCACTTAAGCACCGACAGAGGCAGTGAGATACCATTGAGAGGACACTGAACATCAACTTTAGAGTCCCTCAGAGAAACAATCCATAGACTTGGGGTTCCTTCTTAGAACCAGAGCACCCATGAGCACGCACACTGAACATCTTTAAATATGAACAACACCCCAAGTGGTAACGGTAGCAGCAACAGTCCTTACGTGTGTCGTGCTTTGTCCAGTGAGCTCAGCGTCAGTGTGTTAGGGGCTGCAGCTGGAAGCCAGGTTCTGCAGCACAGCGTGTCCGCAGCACAGCGTGTCCGCAGCACAGCGTGTCCGCAGCACAGCGTGTCCGCAGCACAGCGTGTCCGCAGCACAGCCTGTCCGTACGTGTGGCCCGGGGAACGACTGGCTCCAGGCAACACAACCAAATTCAAAGCTCAAAGAAACTTGTGCTTTGCAGCCTTTGGGGTTTTCAGGTGTCCACTGAGTTCCCCATCGACAGTGTCGACTACGAGATGGCAACTTTCTATGCCATGAATAAGATGAGGCTTCACCAACAGCCGTAATTTACCTTTTCTGTGTGTTATTGGCTCATCTTTGAGTAACACACAGTGGAATGCCAGAAGTGGATCTTAAATAATGAATGCTTAGGTCACGATAATCATGGCTATGATCTTCAGGTGGTAGAAAGTATTTTATACTGAAAGAACATACATAACTATGATGGATGCAATGTATTTTAGCATAGCTACATATAACACAAAAGCAAAAATGCATTGATACATTGAAGGGCAATCTTTGACTCTTAATGAGCAAAGCCATTTGTCTGCCCTTTTAGCATTAAAACCATGTCGAACATGTTTAACTGAGGGACGGACACTAGCATAGTTGTAAATAAGTTCTGTAGCATCTGTATTCACATGTCCCCAAGGGCCAAGTTACAGGGCTGTGTGAGATGCCCACTGTAAGTAGGCAAGGGGAAGTAGACCCTAAGCCCTTCCTTGAGTTAGTGCACAGTGCACAAACCCACAGGGTGGACATTCTTTCTTCAAAGAATTTCCAACATTGTTAAAACCCGTTTCTTTCCGGACAATGTGGCTTAAATTTCTATCTGTCTAAGCTGGAACCAAATTCGTTCTTGCCAGGTCCTTCTTTGCTTCTCAAGAGGTGTAGTATGCGTTCATTTTTGGTCAGTTCTGCTGGAAGCTCATTGGCCTGAAAGAAGATGAGATGGGCATTATGAATCCACTCACTGGTGAGGTTTTCGGGACTCAAAGGAGGCAGGTGACCCCACACTTTTTCCTTCACTAGCAAATAAACCTCCACCAGGGCCTCCTTTTAATGTAAAAACGGTACCTGCTATTTTCCTACTTCAACGTTAGCTTTGTACTTAGCAAATCTTTACTATGCTAGAGACTCCGGAGGACAAGGCCTATGTCTTACAAGTCATTGTTGCCACTTTCAGCACAGTGCCCAGCACGTCTTGCACTTGGAGAATGAACACAGGTATTTGATTTTTTATATTCAGTATATTGAGGTGGTTTGTTGGATAGGGAGGATTCAAGACAGGAATTTGTTTTTTTCCGGCCACATTTCAATTTATTTATTTATTATAACTTTTTTCTTATTTTAAAAATTACATAGTGTGGGGGCTGGAGAAATGGTTCAGCGGTTAAGAGTGCTGACTGCTCTTCCAGAGGACCCGGGTTCAATTCCCAGCACCCACATGGCAGCTAACAACTGTCTGAGAATCCAGTTCCAGGGGATCTGACATCTTCACACCAATGCACATAGAATAAAAGATAAATAAATCACAAACAACTTAAAAAAAATTACATAGTGTGTGTGTGCATGCATGCACGCACAGCCACACAGCCAAGTGCATGCCACAGTGACTTGTGGAGGACTCAGTTTTCTCTTTCCACAGCTTGAGTTCCAGGCCTTGAACTTAGGTCTTCAGAATTATTGGCAAGCACCTTTGTCTGCCTAGCCATCTCTCTGGCCCCTCACTAATTATTTTCATTTGAACATATTTATATATTTATGGGGTACAGTGTGATAATTGATACACAGATATAAAATATGATGATTGAATCAGAATGGTTGAATCTATTTCCTTGAATATTCATTGTTACTTTGTTCGGGGGCTCTGAACATTTCTTAGTTCTTTATAAAATACACAGTAAATCATTGATAACGGTATCACTTGCTGTCTGACTATACTTTATTTCTTCCACTAACTTTTAGTATCTGATATCTGACCTGTCTTGACTCTCACCCTTCTCCTGGCTCTGAGCTCTCTAGACCATCTTTATTCTCTTCCTCCATGAAACAAATCAACTTTCCAGCTTCCATATGTAAGGAGGAGCATGCTGCAATCAAACAGGGCCTAGTCTGGAGAGAAACAGTCAGGAAGCATTTGGCGCCTAAGGCACACCCAGGAAGCCGCAGTTTCTGTGACTAGAACTTCCTACAGGACCTTGTTATCACTCTGCTGGTCACTGTGTCCCCTGATGAGACACATCAATAAGCATTTAGGGAGCTAGTTTCTCCCACAGGCATCTGTGTTATAAAGAAAATAATTCTTAGCCTGGCAGTGGTGGCACACGCCTTTAATCCCAGCACTCAGGAAGCAGAGGCAGGCAGAGGGAGGTAGATCTCTGAGTTTGAGGCCAGAGATGTCTGGTCTACAAAGTGAGTTCCAGGACAGCCAGTGCTACACAGAGAAACCCTGTCTCAAAAAACAAACAAAAAAAGAAAAGAAAGAATTCTTGAACTATGATTTCAGGACTCATTTTATACTATTAAATATTATAGAGCACTCGTATATTTTTAACTTAGAAATGAAAGCTGAAAAAATACATTTCCTAGTTAATGAAAAATAACAAATCTACTACAGATTGGTAGACAAAATATATTTCTGAAAAAAAAAACCCGAATACATTTTCAAAAACAAAAAACTTAGAAATGTAGACTTGCTTATCGGCCTTACATATTTTTTAGTAGGGAGCTTCACAGAGGACAGCTGGATTCTTCCGTCTGCCTCTGCACGCAGGCTGTGCGACATCTCGGGAGGAGGAGTGCTGCAAACAGCTGCACACCAGTGGGTGGCTGGGCAGGGAGGAGGACCCTGATGCCCACACAGATCACGGCAGATGTTTGAGAAGACACCAGCACTGGCCAGGAGGCGGTTCCTTTTCTTCTATCCTTCCTTCACCTCTGTCTCTCCCTTCCTGCCCTTCCCTTTCTTCCCTCTCCTCAGATTGTGTAGCAGTTGCCATACAGGAAGAAAACTCGGTAAGACCCGCAAATTTCAGAAGGAAGCTCCTTAAATCTGGGAAGTAAGCAATTCTAAGTCTCAGCAAGTCTCAGCACCCCACCAAGGCTGTATAAACACCAAGGGCTTCTGTAGGGAAGAGATTCCTTCACCTGCACAGCAGACACAAGTCAAGCAGAGAGTGCCGGGGCTCTGACTTTCACAGTCTTCACTTAGCTAGGGTGGGCCTTTGGTAACATGCCACCTTAGAGTCTTCCCTGCCCTCTCGGCAACCCCTTTTCCTCCCTCCCTCCCTCCCTCCCTCCCTCCCTCCCTCCCTCCCTCCCTCTCTCCCTCCCTCCTTCCTTCTCTTTCTGTGTAGCCAAGGATGGTATAGCATTCACAGTCCTCTGCCTTAGTCTCCTGAGTCCTGAGCTTACAGGCATGTGCCACTATGCCAAATTAAGAAATCATTTCTTATTAAGAGCCATGTAGGTCTAGAGCATATCATGAAGTTTTGTACTTTGTTACAAGGAAATCTACAGGTTCTAGCATTAGTCATAACATTTGGAACATACTAGCTTACTGAGCCATGCAGGGTGTGCAAACATTGGCGCATTTCTTTGTGCCTTATCAAAAAGCCACATTCATTAAAATTCATCAGAAAAGACTTTCTGGATTGATAAACTGTTAAGCCTCAAGAGTCATTCTTTCAAATAAAACTGGGGCCAGTGAGTGGCTCAGTGGGTAAAAGAACTTGTGTGCAGGCCTCACCCTTAAGTTCAATTCCTGAACTCTACAAAGTATTAGGAGAGAATGGAGCCAGAGGTATTCCCTCTGACCTTCACACCCTGTAATGCAAGTGTGTTAACACTCTCACACATATGTACAAAATACATTATTCAAATAAAATTGATGATTGATTAGAAAAGCAACCATTCAGGAATTCAAGGAAATCCCTGGATGCAGGAGATAAACAACAAAAAATGTCTTTAGAGCCTTCCGGGTTTTGCTAGACTCCTGCTACCTTGTTCTGGGGCTACCATGAAAGAGGATGGATTCTCTTGGTGTTTGGTGGGCAGGGGACGGTTTCCCTGGCAGCGAATCCCAGGACGTGAGGCTTTCTGCAGTGTGAGCCTCCACACACAAGTTCAAGTCCTTCAGGGATGGTGAAAGCTCAGCACTGTGGCCGCTGGAAATTACCCATAACTGTTATGCCAAGGTTAGTTCATTAAGGGGGCACAGTAAAAAACACATTGTTTTCAGTTTCTGTATCAAGGTATTAACCGTGTACCTCACTGCCCAGGTTTGATTTCCTTAAGAGTTCCGTGTACAAAGTCTGGAGATAAGTTTCAAAGGAAAGGCAGTTGTGACTTCAGCTGGCTTATCACCCAGCCAGGCCAGCTAATGGAAGATAAATCTAAGTATCTGGGGAAAGCCAGGGGCAATGATAACAGAGTGGGAACAGAACCTCTGTGTGCTGGATAAAATGAAAATGAATGGAACCTTGCCCTGGCACATTGTTTCTTTGACACATCTCAATGGATTGCATGTGTGTGCACGCGTGTGCTATATGTGCTGGTGCATGCACTAATATGTACGTGGAGGTCAAGGAGGGCTGTCTTTTATCATTTTCTACCCTGTCCTTTAAGGCAGAGTCTCTCTCTGAAACTGAAGGTATGGTTTTCAGCTGAGCGGGCAGCCAGCAAACCCCAGCAGTCTCCTGTCCCCACCGCCCTCGGTGCTGGGCTTACAGATAAATGCAGCATCAAGACAGCTTGTTCTAGGGTTTTGAGGTCCCAAACTGACAGGTGTGCAGCAAGTTCTTAACCGGCACCTTCCAGTCTGCGGTTAGCTCTGATTGTCAGCCTTACACAGCCTGTAGAGGTTCAACAGGAGACAGCTAAATCGGGTTGGACTATGGGCATGCCTACCACAGATTGGATAAACTGAGGAGGGAAGACCCACCCACTGTGGCCAGCTCCATTCTGAGTTTGGGGCCTGGACTATGTAAGAGCAGAGAAAGGGAATGAGCAAGACATTGTTCTGGGTTCTTGATGTGGGTTAGGCCCTGCCGCCCGGATGTTTTAGGTCCTGTCGCCCTGACGTGGGTGTGACATCACTAAATGTTTTAGGTCCTGCCGCCCGGATGTGGGTGTGATGTCACTAAATGGTTTAGGACCTGCTGCCCTGACGTGGGTATGAGGTCACTAAATGTTTTAGGTCCTGCCGCCCGGATGTGGGTGTGACGTCACTAAATGTTTTAGGTCCTGCCGCCCTGACGTGGCCCTGCCACCCTGACTTCTCAGTTGTGATGGCATCTAGAGCTAAAATGAACACTTTCTTCCCTACACAGCCATTGTTGGGTTAATTTTTTTTTTTTTTATCACAACAGCAACATCAGAATACAGCACCAGCCCTGATGGTTTCTTTTTAACTTCCAGTCTCCACACAAGGACCTTCAGCAGATGTCAAGAGGAATTACAATGACAAACCTTTCTGCTATGACTGTAAACTCTCTGACTTCAAATTTCGTCGGACTTGAAAGATTTAAGATAATAAAAATATGGTTTGGTGGTGTAATGGTGACATGCAATCCTGCTGATAAAATAAATAAAAATAAAAATAACTCCTGACAGTCACCAAGCATACATTAGCAATTCTCAAAATATAAACATCTAACTTACAGGGAAGGCAACAGGCTTCTAGGACACTGGCATTTTTAGAACACAGACTCCCCCAAATGACTGTCTCCTTCTCCATACCAGGAAGCTGCACCATTGTAAGTGTCTGACCCCTTGCCTACACCTCCTGAAAGCTGGTATTAGAACCATATACTACCACTATTGATTTACGTGGTATTGGGGAATCCTGTGTGTTAGGCACGCTCTCTGCCAACAGAGATACATCGCCACCACCAATGTTTGTACATTTTATATGAGTAAATGGTTAGAGAAAGTCATAGATGATACACTGTTTGGAGCACAATTCCCTGGGTCTAAAGACATTGGCTAGGATAACTGTGATTGAGGGCTGTCCTAACTGTGTGTGACTACAAAGACAGAGACAGAGGCCTGAGAGATGCTGGCCTTGCCGTATGAAGAGGTGGTCTCTGCACAGGGCCAGGGTAGTTAAAGGATAGGTTGAATAGGTACCTTGTTTCTCAAGGCCGGATCTGCCCCTGCTTCCAGGAGCAGCGCAACTGTTTTAATATTCCCACTGAGCACCGCCGCATGGAGAGCCGAAGTTCCATTCTGAGAGAAGACAAGAGTGTGTCAGGAGTTGCGGGCTTTAACCATGCCACGGGAATAACATAGCCTTGCTCCTCTGTACACTTCCCTGTCCTTAGTACCTACTACAGCGTCCTCAGTACCTACCACAGCGTCCTCAGTACCTACTACAGCGTCCTCAGTACCTACTACAGC